CTGGTTAGCCTCCTCCCAGTGAGCGTGTAGGAACACGTCCCAGGTATCCTTCAGCCCTGGAGGAGGCTAGAGCCCAGGTCAAGTGCAGTTTCTCAGAGCTCAGCACAGTAGGATTATTGCCATGCCCTGGCTGGCAGCTAGTTGCCCGAGAGAAATCTGCTGGGGGCTGGGGAAGGGAGGTGAGACCTTGGACAAGTCAGAGACCTTCTATGGATTCTAACCCGTGAGTCAGGCAGGCAGGTGGAATTAAGGTCGTATGTGTGCTGGGGTGTGGAGGGTGCTGAGAGGAAGGGCACATAGATGGTGTTGCTGAAGCCAAGGGGCCAGTGATGAGAAGCTGGGATGTTCTTGCCAGAGGGAAACATGCAAGCAGAGGAGGATGAAGGCCACAGGCCACTCAGAACAGTAGCATCCCTGTTTTCATATGTGTGTTTGAAATTAGCGTTGTAGCCTTGTTTGCAGGATGCAAGAAATTCTTGTAGCCTTTCTGCACATTAAGAATTAATCTAAAAACAATTAGACAAACCAAGCATTCCTTTCTTAAAATAAATGGAATTTGTTTTAATCTCAACCTCTTTGTTCTTTTTGGGGCCCTGTTGAGTTGCCAGTACAGTCAGCTCTAAGTAATTCAGGAACTGAATTTTCTGTCTTTATTTTTAATTTTAATACCATTTGCTTTTTCTCACCTCCTGGCCCTGCCCTGCTTGGTATTTTTAGCATCACTCTGTTTGCCCAAAAGATAAGGAGATTAACAAAGGGCTGCTTCACATTTTTCTTTTTCTTGGTTGAATTATTGCTATGTTTGTGTATTATTTGCCACTTAATGCTTCCATTGGTCCCAAGCTAGAAACCTAGTGCTAGGAGCCTGGTCCCTTCCTTGTCAAATCCAGGTTCTGCCTTCCTCCCAGGTCTTTGGGTGTCTGGACATGGTGGGATTTCTCCAAATACTTATGAGTGGGAGAGTGTCCATTTGCAGCTGGGCTGTGCCCCATCTTGAGAAGGAAGCTGGACCCCTTTGTTGGCCAGTCTCCCCAGTGTCCAGCAGCCTGGGAGTGAAGGACTGTAAGGTCCCCATGGAGTGTGTGATCTCTGGTGTCATCTGAGCTGGCGAGGGGGGGGCAGGAAAGGGGGAGAAGAGAAGCAAACTCTGATCCAAGAACGCAGTGAGCGGAATCAGCAGCCAGGAAAGCGTTCAGGGTCAAAGGCAGGCTTTGTGAAAAGGAGACCCACCCACGTGCATGCGGTTTGTCTTTTGGTATGTGGAGAAGATAGTGGGAGTGGAGGAATGAGAGCAACTGGCAAAAGATAGAGACAAGGCGAGTGAAGTAGAGACTCAGAGAAGCCCTGGGGTGATAGGTGGCAGAAAGGGAAGGGGCCCCAGTGTGGATGGCCAAGACCCTTGACCAGCTTAGTGCCCAGTTAATGCTGTTGGGGATGTCTTGATTTATAGACTAAGCTCTGTGTGCTTTTCCTATGGCTTGTGAAGTACCTAGGTGCTTGCCACCCAGATCTGGTCTAATTAGTCACATCTGGCTCTTCTTTGTCTTCTCTCACTAACTTACTCCCATAAGCAGCCCCTCTTCCTTCTGGGCAAAGAACAGAGGCCTTGGGTGACCCCATGACTCCTGCGTGGATGGAATTTTTTGTTGTTGTTCTACTTCCATGTTGATCAGCTACCAGCTACCTTCAAGAGATTGAGGAGGGAGCAGGATTTAGTATCTTGGTATTTAGCACCATTCAGCCATAACATGTTTTCTGTGTCAATAGCCACCTCCCAGAAAAAGCCATGTACCTGCTTGTTCTTCTCCTGAACACTTGCCATCCACCCGTTTCTCCAGCACCTGCATGCTCTCCTGCTTTATTTCCCTACTACCTTAGAAACCCCTCCCCACTCAGGTCATTTCCGTTCTGCAAAATACAGACCAACACTGCCTTTTCTGCAAAACATGTGCTGACATGGAAAACGGCCATCTGTCTTTGCCAAACTGAGATGAGGCACAGGCCCCTTGTAAGGTCTTCCCATCCATACCTGGCCCTCCTGGACCTTGCTCTTGAACCGCATCTTCCCCTAAAGACATCTATGTTGAGCTAACTCACAGGGTTGACAGGTTTTCAGGACCTAAATACCAGCCATAAAATTGGCTCGCAGAAAAAAAAGTGTTCTTAGCCCTGTGTACTTGTTTGTTCATTGTTAGTGCTTCTGGTAAGATTCTACAGACTTTGGCAGTCCCATTCAAATATATTTACTGACTTGTGCAACTCTTCTAATGCTTGAGCTGAACATCTTTGGGATTCTGTCCATTGAGCATGTGCCAAGTTGAGCTTCTAAGACTTGCATGGCATTTGGTTGACTGCAACATTATTTATCCAGTCCTCACTAGGTGGACACCTAGGTTGTTTCCAACTCTTGGCTGTTATCAGTTGCTGGCTTCAACAACTTTGTACAGCAGTGACCTATGAGTTGTATTGTTCCCTTTAAGTGGGTCAAAGGACACATGGTTGTATTTTTTGGTAGGTGATTGCCACCCTACCTGCCTTCCATTGAGGCTGAGTGTGCTCATGCTTCCACTGTCAGTGTCCATGGGCTGTTAGCCCACCCTCACTACCCCAGGGTGTCATCACCCAGATATGTCTGAAAAAGTCTTGGGAATGTGTCTGCTTGATTGACTAAATTCCCAAGCTAGTGCTCATTCAGTCTCAGGTCAAATTCCCAAGCACAATCACCTGGCCTATTGCATGGTAGCTGGACTCCACCAACAAGTCACTGCTGATGGTACAGAAGTGAAGTCAGCATGTTCAGGGCTGAGCAGTAGCAGCCTGGTGGGTTCTTGTCAGGGAGGTATAGCATGTCAAAGGTTGGGATGGTGCCCAGTAGCACCAAAAGTAAACAGTTACTATTGTTAAATGCTGCTGGTTGCCAGGAGATACACATATCCTCTCTCGGACCAGATACAGTTTGCTTTAAAGAAGCCACTGTTTCTGTCTCAGCAATAGCAGAGGAGACTTTAAAAGAACAGTGTGGTAGGTGTGAGCTACAACAGTTAAGCCATCACATGGGATGTCCACATCTTGTACTGCAGTATCTAGTTTCAGTCCTGGCTTCTCTGTGGCAGATTCCTCCCTCCTCGGGGATGGAGTGAGAGAAGGGGAGCAGCAGGTGATGGCTACATATACTGGAGTCCCTCCCTCCCTCCCACATGGGAGACCTGGATGGAGCTTCTGGCTCTGTCCTGACCCGGTCCTGGCTGTTTCCAGGCACTTGGGGAAGTGAACTAGCCAATAGGAGGTCTCTCAGTACCTTTCAAAGAAAAGGAAAATGAACAACAGTTTTTCTTGTTTTGAGTGTCAGCTGGGAAAGGGAGAGGGGAACCGATAGAGCTACCTGGCCTTCCATTGGTTGATAAGCCAAGGTTTTTTCCGGAAGCCAAGAGGTGGTGTTGCCTCTGGTCAGCTGGAGCATGCTGAGGAGCTGGAATAAGAAAGATAACTGATAAGACAAAGAGACTGAGTCAGAACTTCCAGATGCTTCCCCAGCAACGCAAACATCCACTCCCTGTAAAGCTGGAAGGCTACATTTCTGCTCCTAATTCCCTCCCCCCACCATTTTTTTTTCCCCTAAGCTTTCAGTATATATGGGCATTCTTGGAACTGACACAAAGTCGGAATTCAACCCACATTGCCTTGTCAAGTTCATGCCATAAATACTGGGTAAATATTTACAGGAAGAAAAATACCTTTGTGGGGTCTCTTCTTCCATCCTCCCAGATGTCACCATCCACACCTTCTCTGCCTCCCCACCAGTACTGTTTGATTGTAGGTTTCCACTGCTTCCTTTTAACCTTTGCGTCCCAGCCACTGATCTTACCAGGCCTTCCGTGGCTGCCGGCCAGGAGTGCCTGTGTGCCTGCAAGTGCTGACCTGTGCAATGCCTAGGTTGCCACCTGGTGCTCACCCACGACCCTGAGAGCTCTGGGTGTCGCAAGCATTCCACCCTCACCATTCCAAATTCTTTTTCAGTTCAAGGGAAGATGTGATGGCAGTGGAAGGGTATGGTGGAAATGGGAGGGGACTGCTCTTTAGTTAAAGTTTCATGAGTTTGATTATTTGGGCTCCAGGTTCTGAGTTCACCTAACCAAGTCTTCACAGCTGACCAGTGGTCGCCATTCCAGGCTCTGAATTTTGGCAAGCATGCTGCCCTTGGCAGCTGGACCTGTGAGCCTAGGACACCACTGCTGGGCAGCTATTCCTCCAGGTTGCCACCACCTCCTCAAGCCTTGGCATCCCAGCCATTCCTGCAAACAGCCAGCAATCCCCTCCCGCACATGTACATGGCAGAAAGGCAGAACCAGAGGCCCAGACATAGGACCATGTATTATGCACTTGCATTGGAAGGAAGTTCTGATGTTTCCATGTGAAAGCTCAGGGTTTTAATTTTTGTTACTGCCACAAGACCCAACCAAGAGCTCAGTAAATTCCTGGGGAGAACCTTGAGACCCATGGTCATGTCCTAGTAAGATCGTGGGCTGTGGTCTCCTCAGACACTGGGGAGAAAAACCTCCCTCCCCCTAGAACCCAGGCTCCCTCATGGTGCTGGCAGTCTCCTTGTAGAGCCTCGGGCTTCCAAAGCTCTCACTGGCTCAAGCGGAATCATCCATTTGCAAGTCACAGAATGCACCTGCCAAGGCATACCTGCACCAGGAGGCAGGTTGCGGGGGCGCTGCCTGTGCTGTCTTCTTCACACAGGAAGTGGTGTTTTTCTGAGTGAAGGCCCAAACTATTCAGCAAGATCTCCATGTTTTCCCTTTGAGAGAAAGCAGGTACGTTCTCCTAGCTCAGAAAACCTCCCATAGCCTGTAACCCTGGTGTTCTTGGCTACAGCAGGATCTCAACCCCAGCTCTTCTGTTAACTGATTATGTGTTATTAACACCAAGTATCTTTTTTTCTTACTCCAGCATCTCCATTCTCATCTGTAAACATTCATTTCCTCATATTTATTTAGCCACTAGTATTTAGTGATTACTGGAGATGCCATTTTCAGCCCCTTGTAAGCCTAATAAACACGGTCAATCCTGATAGTGGAACTAAAGAGGAAATACTCTTTAAAAGAAATCCAGTTGCATCTAAGCCGAAGTCACCCTGGTAGCATGCTGGAAGCAGGTCTCAGGGGAGAAAGACCAACATCTCGGATATGTCTGCAAGTGTTGGGGTCCAGGGCGTGGGGTTCTTGTTTTTCTATCTTCCCTTAAAACCAAGCCAGGTGAAACACTTTCTGAAGATGAGTTTTCATCCTGCATAAAGGAATAAGAACAGTGAGGGGAAAGTGGGATGCTGGTGGGGGCCAGTCTTGTCACTATCTGTGGGGGGTTTGTGAAAAGGGCCAAGAAACCCAGCAATGCCATGTACCCTAACCTTCTTGGCTCTCTTCTGCAGGTTTCTCCTTGCTGTGGAGAGGACTGGATGATGTAACGGGCTTCCTGGGAAGCCTCGTGCAGTGGAAGCTCAGTAGGTCTCCAAGACCACCATCTTTACTTGAGAACAGCTTCTGAAGCCACTGGAGTAAAATGTGACAGGTGCATCCAGAAGGCTTGCTTTCTGAATCACAGAACATCCCCGTGGAGAACGCCCCCTGCCCAACTTCCCGCTTGCAAGGTCAGCATCCCCACATCCCACCATGCCAGCCAAGACCCCGATTTACCTAAAAGCTGCCAACAACAAGAAAGGAAAGAAATTCAAGCTGAGGGACATCTTGTCTCCCGACATGATCAGCCCCCCACTTGGGGACTTCCGCCACACCATTCATATTGGCAAAGAGGGCCAGCACGACGTCTTTGGAGATATCTCCTTTCTCCAGGGCAACTATGAGCTCCTGCCAGGAAACCAGGAGAAAGCGCGACTGGGCCAGCTCCCAGGCCATAACGACTTCTTTCGTGCCAACAGCACCTCGGACTCCATGTTTGTAGAAACGCCCTCACCAGTGCTCAAAAATGCCATCTCACTCCCAACCATTGGAGGGTCCCAAGCCCTTATGCTACCCTTGTTATCGCCCGTGACTTTTAACACCAAACAGGAATCATTTGGACCGGCTAAGCTGCCCAGGCTCAGCTGTGCACCTGTCGTGGAGGAAAAGGCACCAGAGGACAGCAGTGTGTTGATGAATGGGGCGCTTGGCCAAGGAGACGCGTCATGGGCCTCCAGCGGCTCGGCCTCGCAGTCCAGCCAGGGCAGGGACAGTCACTCTTCCAGCCTGTCCGAACAGTACCCGGAGTGGTCTGCCGAGGACATGTTCGAGCAGCCCGCCCCAGCCGAGCTCAGCAAGGGGAAGACTAAATCAGAGGAGTCCCTCTCTGACCTTACAGGGTCTCTCCTCTCGCTGCAGCTCGATCTTGGGCCCTCACTCTTGGATGAAGTGTTGAACGTCATGGAGAAAAATAAGTAACAGGAGACCAGTTCTTTTCCTTTGGGGGTAAAAGGTACCCCCAGAAAAAAAAAAAGCAAAAGAAACCACAACAAAACTAAAGCAGCACCAGCTGAAGCTTCCACAGTTGTAGCTGCAGGATGGGCTTTCTAAAAATAATGTTTCCGCAAAGTGTTTTTTACCTGTTATTCTCTTCCTGTTTGCAAAAGCAAATGGGGGGGTCGGGGAGTCAGGAGGACAACAAAACAAGCAAACGTGACCTGGCAGAAAGAGGAAGTGAGTCAGGGGCCTCTTTCAGCTGCGTGCTGGCATTCAGCTTACATTTGCTTGTTGACGGACACAAGAAGTCTGGCTTGGCCAAGACTGATACTAACTACGAAAGGTGCCAAGGCTCCAAGTTTTCTAAGCAAGAGGAACTGAGAATTTATTTAAAACCTAAACCTTTTTTTCCCTAGACTCTTTTCTATATTACATTTTTTGGGACTCACCCTCGCAAATTATGCAGTGTTAAAAAAAAACTTTGTTTTCACATGTAAACAAACTTTATAGGTTTTTTTGGGGGGGGATTCTCTTGTAGTTCTTATATATCCCTATATATTATTATATCTATATCGCAAAATGTTGACCATCGGCTACATGTTGGTAAGATACAAGCAAAGTATGACTGTAACTAAGTTATTTTTAAAGGTAAAATATATTTTTATGTGCCTTTGGCTTTTTATTGCAGAGTCTACATTTTATAGATAATACATCCAGTGCTGTCATCTGACCCATTTCCATTGGGTTTCTGTTGTAAGCAGTGCATGTGTGTGTTTGGAAAAAGTATACTACTCATACTTAGCTTCATTGTTTTTCTCCTCCATTTGTTGCTGTACCCCTAACAGCAGCCAAGGATAGATGGTCAAGTGTAAAGGCAAGGTTCTCCTGATGCTTCTGCAGACTGGGCTGCACCATATGATGTTATTTGGAACTATGAATATTTTAGTACCGTACATACTTGCATTTCCTAGGTACTTCATCCAACACAATAAAGAATAAATGTTAAAAATGAACTTGCTTGTTTGTAGCAATGAACAAAAACATGAGATAAAATGCTTCTGTGAGTGTAGCCAGAAACACTGCAACTCCATACTGTTGGCAACCCTTTAGAATAAGGTAGGAAATGATTTTATCCATTCTGTAATTTTGATCACTTAGAGAGTCCAGGAACAGGGCTACAGTAACTTAGGAGAAATGAATATGTATTATCAAAATTCCATATCAGCACCAGTCCCTGCTCTCCATGTGTGAGCTGGGTCCCTTTGCCTGGATTCCTGCTACAGCAGACTCAAACCTTCATGTGCGTCTGCGTGACAAGTGCATGTCCACACAGCACTGCTTGTCCAGACAAGACTGAGAATAGAGGAAGGCAACTGGAAGCACCGCCACTGCCCCCAAGGATGTTGGTTAGTAAAACAGGAAGAGGAAATTCACAAACAGCTTGGTCTCCTTCACCCTTCCCCGCTCAGAGGAAAACACCCGGCACAGTGACTTGCAGCTCTTTCTCACAAACTTTCTCCTTGCAATGGCCGCTTTTGCCAACGACTTCGGAATTCTGTCCCTGAAGTTACCTATGAAGCACAGGTGAAGTGCTCTTGGGATAACTCACAAGATGAGCAAACTAGTTCTTGAACATTGAGTGCTTTTCTTCATCTCCCAATCATCTTAATGTTAAAAACCTGTGACTTTCTAGTGTCCTTATACAAAACCCCCTCACTCACAGGTCAAAACTCTAAAGACTCCCCAGCATCTTCTAAATGTTGCTAAAGAATGTCCAGGGTAACTTGTACCTTGTAGCCAGTTTTTCCAGATTCTTCCAAAATCTTGCTGATTGATGGTATTCAGCCTCCCCCTTCCTGGCTGCTTTCACTTTTGTCTGTAGGATGGCCTCAAGGAAAAGCTTGAACTGGTAGGCGACATGAAGAGTCATGTGCCTGCCCAGGCTCCACTGCCTTGCTAGCGAGTGCGAGAACAGATCTGAGTAGCCTGGGTTTGTATGACATCACTGACAGAATCCAGCATCCTACAGGATCCTAACCATCCTAACCATTTTACTTTGTTCTCTTTCACAAGTGTTCCCTCCTGTTAGGTTTTGGTAATACATATGCCCCTAATAGAAAGTGTATACCATCTTGTTGGGTCAGTTCTCCAGTGGCAGCCCTTTTAATACCTGTCCCTTATACATAGAGCAGGTGCACAGCTGGCAGTGGCTTTGACGTGCACTTGCTTAGAGTTGAATGGATGTTCTCACCCCAGAATAGTCTCCTCCTTAACAATTTAGCTTCACTTATTTAAAGAAGGTCCCAAGATGCACTTCAGTTGCAAACTCAGAAGGGCAGGTCACACGGGACCCATCCAAGAGAAAAGAGGCCATGTACATTGTGATCCTCATGTTGAGATCGGCCAAGTTTCACATGAGTGACCTTTTCACTGGACAGTGAGATCTATCAGGACAGTCAGTTATTGCTGCCTAAAATTACCTATTTAAAAAGATCATTATATCAGAGTCATTTTTTCTTTGCAAATAGAAAGCCATTCAGTGTAACACTTCAGTAAGCCAAATCGCTGTCAAGAAGTATGTGTTGAAGGCTGCACTGGCTTAGTGGACATCACAGAATCCCAGATTAGTTCCTGTCTGTTTCCTTTCTCCCAATTCCTCACAGAAACTTGAGGTCTTGGAATAGACAAAATCCTTATATCCATTATGTAAGTTAAGTATTTAGAAGAGGCAAAAGCAAATTACACATTAGGAAATGATTCTAATCTTCCTAATACATGACCTTAAGAGACTGGATAACTTTACTGTGAGACATAAACACAACAGAGTCAACACAATGGGTGGGGGCGGGTCTCTCTCCTTTGGAAGTTATCAACTTTATCCCAAATTTAGCAGTCCCAATAACAAAATTCTTACATTTTAGGGTCAGTCCACCAGATTAGTAAAAATGGTTGATTGACTCACTTTTTTTAGGCAACTCAGTATGGTATGCACATAAGGTATTAGATATTGCACTGAATTGCCGCTTACAGAATTTGGGTCAGAAGCAGCAAAATAGGTTTCTTGAAGTGAAATTAACCCAGATAGGTAGCCTTCTTGGTAGGCAATGTGTAGAGGATCCAAAACTATGTACGTATAAACTTATTGATATTGGATAACTATCACATTTCTTTTCCAAGGAGATAATCTCTGGTGGATTTATCAGCACCCCTGTTTCATTTGACAACACCTGGAGCATCCCAGGTCTTCCTGGTGGCATGCTTGCCATTTCATCCAACAAGCTTACCATCTGAGAATGTTTTCTGGTCACCTTCGCACAGCAGCTTGGCTTGAAAATGTGTTGCTTTTGCTGTCATGGAGCCATTTTTCTGTGGTAAACACCACAAAGAATGTCATATGGAAGAATGGGAACTATGCTTAATTTATGAAGTGATGTATAACACAATGAAATGTATTTTACAACTACTGTGCTGCATTTAATTATCTTTCAGTTTTACTTAAAAAAAAATAGTGATGTCACTTGCACTGACTTCCAGGGGAAGTCAGCCATCTTCATCCTTTGAAGATCACCCAGATTTCTCCCATGGAAAGCAGATTGACACGAGTGAGAGATAAAAACATCTGCCTGAATCAAAGCCATCATACAGAATTAAGTTATTGTTCCAGAAACTTGTCATGTGTACAGAGATTTCTGCCACAAATTGAAATTAGCACAACCGAGTAACAGAACGAGTATTATGCTCAGCATAAAATTCTTGTTGGATATGCCACGAAGCTTAAGTGTGACTCATTGCCAGAAGATCATTGGAAAATAAGTTTAAATTCTGGGGAGGGAAAGATGAGGTGGCATCGCCTCATAAAACAAGGTCTTAAAGGGGACCTCAGGACAGATGGAATTGTCTTAGGAGAAGGGAGGACCATGAGTAATTCAAGGAATAAATCCCTATCCTGCAGTCTACTCAGAACAATCCAGGAATAGGGATTACAGCAAAAGCTGACTTCCAGGCCCAAAAGATTGGGCCCTTTCCTGAGAATACTGCCCCAGTGGAAATGAAAATGATGGAACCAGATTGCTGAACAAGTGGGTTGCAGGATGAAATATTTTTATAAAATGTGCCACCATCCTGGAAAAGCCCATGCCCCCTTCCATAGGACCTGATTTGTGACCTGCAGGCTGGGAATAGTAAGGCTGGTGTGAGAGGTTCTAGAACAGCTTCATGTTAGTGTGAGAGGTAACAAATTCATTGACAGTCCCTGCCTTAGTACTTGGGCAGCTGTCCCATCAGCAGGCGAACCTCACACTGTCTTTCAGGCTGACTTAACACTTTCTTGCTAGATGTCTCCAGGATTAAGAGGGGGAAAATCCTTGGGTAACAAAGGGGAACCCAATTGTCACTAAGAAGTTTCTGCAGAAAAGTCCCTTTTCGTTTTCTTCCTTTTTATTCTTTGGATCCTTGCTTATAGATTAGAAAAACCAGCTCCCTGGAGGAGAAACCTTCCCTGAAGTTGTCTCAAACTTCAGGTACAGATTCACAAAACTGAGGGTCAGAGAAAGACCCAAAATCTTGGACCTTTGAGTCCCTGCCTCTTCCCAGGAATGGTTTCTGGACCACCTGCCCTTTCAGGCGAGATGACATTCACTCCTTGGGTGAACCCCGATCTTACAGGGAACATCTGGAAAATGGTTACACACACAGCACAAGATCCCAGCCTTAACACCACAAAAACCCACCTCTAACAGTGAAAAGTTCCCTCCTTTACATTTGGGTTTTGAAAGTCCCAACAAAGAAAGCCTTTCAGGAACTTTACCATGGAAACTTTCCTCTTTAAATCAAGTCACACTAATGTGCATTAAGACTTCAAAGAATACTGACCCTGGATTTATGCCCAGCCTTGTTGGGGAGTGAAATGTGGCAGCTTCTGAGCTGGACCATCTTCCAGCCTAATAAACTCAACTTCCCCAAGATGGCACCCTTCAGGTGAGGCCTCACATTAGACATGACATCTCCTTAGATTAATCCTGGGGCAGGGACACGGGGAGTGATGGCATCTGAAAGCCAGATAACCAGACCTATCCAGTAACAGGACCCAAATATGGCAGTGAGAGAATTCACTCTTTAAGAAGGGAAGTGGGATAAGTATTTGGTTCACACTTAAGGCTCTGCTTGGGTTGTTCCTGTCTTCTATCAGAGTGCTGGTGAGTCCCAACTCCATCACTGTAATCTTCCTGTCAGTGCACACTCTGAGAAGCTGCAGGTAGATGGCTCAAGTGCTTGGATTCTTGCCATCCACAGCAGAGATTCAAATTGGGTTCCAGGCTCTAGGCTGTGGTCAGCCCAACCCTGGTGTTTGTGGCAGATGGAAGATCTCTGTCTCTATGCTTTCAAGTAGAGCAAAAATAAATAACTTTAAAAGAATAGTGAGGTGATAGGATTCAATCACTAAATGTAGTTTCACCAGAGGGGACAATAAAGGTTACTGTTGGCTGGAGGAGTATCTTACCATTGCCATCAAATCTAGTTTGGAATCAACCACATTCAATGGTACAGAAGATTAACATAAAACTCTCAGTGACCAGCATGGTTCCACCCCTTCACAGACTACAAAACTTGGAGGCATTGTGCTTTTGGCAGCAAATAATATTATTTCTCAATCACTGTCTGCTCTTCCTTCTGCCCTCACCCCTCTCCTTCCCAGTACCCCCTTAATGACATGATTTCCTTAAGTATCCTGAATACTCCCCTTGTTCTAGTTATTTTTTCCTGAATCCTTAGCAGACCATGAGCCATATCCCACAATCATGAGACTCCAAAAGTCTAAACTAACATTTAAGTTTTTTTTTTTCAAAATAAGCAATATTCAAGGCACAGCTCTATAAAGCTAGGCTCGGGCATAGTTAAAACTGAGCGAAGAAAGTAGCTAGTTATCTTCCAATCCCTACTTGTGTTGTGTGAAAATGCAATTGGGATGAGAATAGATCCCAGGAGCAAAACATTTGTGGTGCTCTGGCAGATTTTTCACCATAAACGGCAAGAAGGAAGAACAGACGAACACAATTTTAGATATTAGATTAGCATCCAATAAAGTTCTCCCAACACAGTATCAGCCCCTGGCGCCTGTGACCAAATAAAGCAGTGTTTGTGAAGCTTCATTCTGCAGTAATCCCCCTCTTTTAAAATAGTTGCTGGGTTCACCATTGATTAAAATTGCTCATTTGCAGCACAGCTGGCTCTCTAGACTACATAAACGCATGGAATATTCATCAGGTACCGTAGATAATCAACAGGAAAAATGCTAAGTGTCATGACAGCAGAACCCAGAGGCAATGCGGCACCTGCTGCAAGAATCCAGGGAAAGCAGGGCCTTCCTACGAGAGTCCACACTTCTAGAGATTGTAATAACCAGAAGAAACCAAGTATGGACAAGGAAATGGCTTCCAGCACAATAGGTACCACTCCTGTGCATCCAAATTGCAAGCTCCTCTTCCTCTCCCCTCTGGCTATAGAAGACCACAGGAGAAGTTGGGTCTTGGGGGCTAGAATGTGCTTTGGGGGCTGTGGTCTTCTTTGGACACACCCAGGAAAAAATCTTTGAGTCTCCTCACCTTTCAACAAAAGTTCTCACATTGATTCTAACACTAAAACACCAAATGACACTACATGAGTCATGCATCTCTCATGAGCTAACCAGTAATCCCCAAAGACTCTTAAGTCCTAATTCCTGAGTCTATAACCATTGGGTATTTTTTGAAAAATGAGACTTTACAGACTTGGATAATTTAACGTTTTGAAATCAGGAGTTAGTCTGAATTATCCAGGTGGGCCTCCAAATGTGATCCCATTTTTCCATGGAGAAGCAAAGGGAAATTGAGTCCAGACATGAGGTAGCAGCAAGGTGCCCACAGAGGCAGGGACTGGAGTGGTGCAGCCACTATCTAAGGCATGCTAGCAGTCACCAGTATGGAAGAGACTAGGAATAGACTTCACCTGAAGCCTCTGGAAGAGTGCAGCCTTCCTAAAAGCTGTGCTGAGGCCCAGGAATCCTGACTCTGGGCTTCTGGCCTCTAGAAGTGTGAGAGAATTTAAATCACAAGAGTGAGACAGCAAAGATACTTTGTTGCCAGAGAGTCTCCTTCAGCTACTCTTTGTCCATGAAGTACTCCTCCCTACATCCATGCCAGGCAGAGGTTAACAGCCCTTCCCTGTGGCATAAGGCTCCTTACGCTGGCAAGAATGATGTGAGGGGTGTTTAAATACCTGGCAGAGAAACAGCCCAGTTGCTGGTAGTGCTGCCTACATCAGAGCTCACAGAGAAAAGGATGACATCAGTTCATCACCATGAGGAAGTGAAAGGGCTGCTGTGGCTGACCCAGCCCCAACCCTCCTGACACCACAGGTGGGGAGTGACCTTGTAACACACTGACATTCAACCTTGGCACTATGGGAAATCCCACTGAAGTGCACCATGTCTCATCAACCCCTTGTGGGACATCCCTGCCATTCCTGAGTCCTGGGACCTGTGCATGACCTAAGCAGATTAAGGATAAGGATTGGCCCACATGATGTGTCAGTTGGGAATGACAGCCTTGGAGGTGAAGATTAGGGAGTGGGGCAGAAGGCATGGTGGACTAGCCACAGCAGGTTCACAGCAAATCTATCACCTGTAGAAGGTAGAGAGCAAGGCCAGAACAGCCCAGGAGTCTGAAAGACCTGCACAGTAGTGGTTCCCAGACTGACTGGAGGAGGAGCAGGAGTGAGGCTACCTTTGCCCACCCCTGGGAATTCTGCCAGCCCACATGCCTCACCATGAAGGAACTTCCACAGAGATCATGCTCATCTCTCCTCCTGCAAATCAGACACCTCCCTGCCTTCACCCAGTGAGCCCCCTCCCCAACCTCAATAGGGCTGTGAGCAGCAGTCCGTACTTCTTGCCACATATCCCCTTAAGTCGCTACCTCTGGATCCACCACCCTGACTCTGCTGGCACTGCACTCAGCAGTTACCAGTGAACTGAATTTGCATTCATCAGCCCACTTTGTTCTTTCTGGTAGCTTCTGACTCTGCCACATGCTGCTTCTCCTCCATAATTATGAGATATGAAGCCTGCTTGCTTCCTCCTCCCAGAATACAGGACCTAAATCTTGTTTGCTTCCTTTTTCTTGGTCGACCTGTCACCACTCTACAGCCCAGGGTCACCCTCCACTTTCTTCCACTTCCTACTTGGTAGCATCTGGTTGGAGAGCTTCCACTGCCATCTTCACTGGTGACACCCAAATCTGTACCTCCTGCTTGAGCCCAACTCCCAGGCATCAGAACTGAAGATCCAGCTGAGCCCTGGGCATCTCCACTCATGGGCCCTGTTGGAACTCCGGTCTCCACATTTCAAAGTGAACTCACCATCCACAGCCACATGTTCCCACCCTCCTCCACCTATCTTGTGAATGATGCTACAACCCAGCTGACTGTCCAGGACAAATGCCTCTTGCCACACATTTCTCCTTCTCCCCTACTAAATACTTCTTATATCTAACCTCTCATTTCCATTCCACAGATATTGCCTTTGTTCAGTCCATGCTCCAGTTACAGCACTGGCTGGTTAACTATTTCCCTGTCTTCAATGTCATCCCTGCCTTCTGTTTATTTTACTGGTGGTAGGTTTTTTAAAGATATATTGTTAAAACCATTGGCTTATATCACATTATAATTTTTTTCTGAATAAGCATCAAAAACATAGATGCCCAAGGTAAGAACTTTAAGAGACTGCATCACCACAGAAAACCTAAATTTCTAAGCAGATGCAGAGTCCTCAGTGAAGTTTACTGTGTAGTAGAACCTACTTAAAACCCAAACTTTATGAATCAAAGTCTAAAACTCACCCTTCCCCAAAACCCAATTCATAAGTCAAGTGGATGGAGTGGGTTCCACAGTGCTGAGGACCAAGGAGGAAGAACTAATGCAATAGTCACCTTTACTCACTTTACTCAATTCCCTTTTTATCAGCTATTAGGATAGATGGGTCTAGGGGCTCCCTGTGAATGAGAAGCAACATCTTCTTTGTTCCCCATCTAAAAAAGCCCAGTAGGAATTGAGGCAGGGTTGAGGAGAAAGAGGCCAAGAATGCGGGCCTCATTCTCTGCTAAAGTCCATTCAGCATGTCCAAGGCTGGGCTGCTTTATGAGACCTGCAACAAGCAACTGAGGCAGGGGGTCAGCAACACTCAGCCTGAAGACTGAGTCCCTCCCCTGGCATGCCCCAGGACCATGCTATGGGAGCAGGGAAAGGGCAGGATTGGAGAGGGTCTGGCTATCCTCTCATTGCAGATGACGTGCAACCAATAGGTCTTTAAACTGTCACTACTAAGTGGGCATGAAACTTTAAGCCACCCAACATGACACCAGTACCCCTAAAAATGTTGCATAACCCTAATCACTGTGTGGTCTGATCTCACTTCAGCTCACAGTGGAAAAGCAAACAAGCAAACCATGAAGTTAACGACAAAGAGCAATTATAGCATCTTTGTACATTCACGTCCTTCTCCCCAAGAAATCCAGTGAATTTTCCTTTGCTGTACCCGGCAGGGTAAGGTTCCCTGCAGGATGCAGAGAAGAGGATGAGGGTGCCTGACTTATCACACATTCATTCTGTTTATCTAAGTCCTCACTCACTTCTCACAATAGTGTTAAGAATCTGTAATTCCAATACGGATTCCAAGTCACAATGCTGACAGCAACCACCTCCCCACCTTTCAGGTACTCACAATTAGAAGACTAAGTTCAAATTCATCAAAACAGATCCAGGGTCCTCCAGTCCTTGATGCATAAAGCCTCATTCATGAATGTTGCTTATCTTGCCTGGCACGGGACATCTCAATCTCAAATTCTTGGCAAAAGAGAGAGAAGTGGATCTGAGAGCAGAATCTGTGGAATCCCCGTGGAACTGCAATTTCTGCTGGCTCACCCAAGAACTTTGGATGGGAACAGACCTTGCTGGGGAGCTCTGGGCACACCCCAGCTGAATTGGAGTTCCCACTGATGAGAATGAGAGCAGAACTGAGGGCAGCAGGTACGGCTGTACATAGCTACAGACTATATCTGCACAGGTGTGCACTGGGACAGTGGAGCAACAGATTAGGTTGACTCCAGCCCTCACTGGTACTTGTGAGAGCCAGTTAGGGTATAGAACAGGCCAGAATAGGTCTTGACTCCTGCTGAACAACGTGAATGCTGTGTCTGGATGCAGATCAGGTAGCACAGGGCTGCAACAACCAACAAAAAGAAACAGAATGGATGTGGTCAGTTGAGCAAGGCCACTGTTCCTGTCAGGACAGGAGGTGGACAAAGTCAACCTAGGCCAACATCGCACTGGTATGTGCGAGAACTGCCACTGGGAGGAGATTCAATGAGGAGCTTGGGTAATTCCTTCATTGGGACACAGATCCTACAGGTGAATAGAAGAAGCAAAGCAAGGAGCAGCCCAGACCATGCCAGGTTACAGAACCCGCCGGCATACATGTGGGTCAGGTCTGGGGACAGACCAGTCTGTGCCAGCACATAACACCCACTGATAGGTCTGAGGATTTGGGTAGGAGGCAGGAGGAGTCAAATTGGACCACAACACAGCCACTTCACATTAGGACCAGGAAAGCAATCAGTCTGGGCTGGGATAGGCTGCCGCACCCACCAGCGGGAGCTGAAACAGAGAGACTAGCCTAGCCTAGGCCAGGCTGCACAATAAGACTGCCATTACTGAGGTGAGGAGAGTCATGCCAGCCTGGGCTCAGTGGGGACAGGCCACATGAGTCCCAGAGACAGAGGATCTGACAGGGCTTGGGTAGCTTGGCTCAGGTCATTGGGCCCGTGTGAAGGGGGATGGGTTCCTGAATCCCAGGGACAGGGGAACTGGTGGGGGTGTGGGTCACTTGGCCCAGATCCTAGGGTCTATCTTCTAGGTGAGTGTTGTTTCTTGAACCCCAGGGGTTGGGGATCTGGTGGGGCTTGGGTCTCCTGGCCCAGGTCCCAGGGCTTGCCTACTAGGTGGGTGTCAGATTTGTGAGCTCCATGGGTGGGGGATTTGGTGGGGCTTGGGTCTCCTGTCCTGGGTCCTAGGGCCTGCCTACTAGGTGAGTGCAATGTTTTTGATTCAATGGGGCTTGGGACTCCTGGCCCAGGTACTGGGAGCCGCCTGCAAGAACATGCCTTACTTAATGAAAAAGATGGAGCAGTGGACACAGGGCCTGTTGTAAAAAGAGAATATGGCAACACATTTGATGCTGTAGCAGAACAATAGAACAAGCTGGACAACTACCCCAAACAAATGATGACAGTAAAAAAATCTCAGTGACTGGAGCCATTGGACATTGGGAGGGTGACATCATCCTTGGGTCAATGAGATCCGAGCATTTCAGAACTATCCAAGCCACTTGGACAGAACCTTCAGAATATGCACACATTGAGACTCTAGGTTGATACAAGGTGGCGGTTCCTCATCCCTGGGCACTGGGATGAGTAGAAAGTCATGAACGGTTTCCCCTCCACCCAGGAACAACAAGGAGAAATAGCAAAATTGGAAGCAATGAATTCACCCAATTTTCCCTAAAACTCAATCCTTCTCACCCTGATCAACCATGTAATCATTATTAAAAAAAAAACACCTTGGGCCCGGCGCGGTGGCACAAGTGGTTAAAGGTCCTTTAACCACGCCCGGGGATCCCATATGGACGCCGGTTCTAATCCCGGCAGCCCCGCTTCCCTTCCAGCTCCCTGCCTGTGGCCTGGGAAAGCAGTCGAGGACGGCCCAAAGCTTTGGGAACCTGCACCCGCGTGGGAGACCCGGAAGAGGCTCCTGGCTTTGGATCGGCATAGTATCGACCCGTTGCGCTCACTTGGGGAGTGAATCATTGGACGGAAGATCTTCCTCTCTGTCTCTCCTCTCTGTATATCCGCCTTTCCAATAAAAAAATAATAAAAATAAATCTTTAAAAAAAAAACACCTTAAAAAAGACTAATGCAACAGCCATCTTTGAAGAAACGCGCTTTGAAATGTTTCCATGGATCTGCTGCATTGGTTTCCATTACCTTATAAAAGAAAATAACCATATAGCAAATTATTATTGTTTACTATAAAATGATACAAGCATTGCAGGTTTTGAGAACTTTGTAGACTTGGACAAGAATGTGAGTTGGATCCTGTAAGCACTCTGCATGCTGAGCAAGCCTAAACAGTTTCATCAGTGGTAGTGCTTTAAGATGTTTTAAATCTGCCAATTAAGAGATGCTAATGTACAAGTTGGCAAAAATGGGGAAAAAGGTCACCTTCATCATACATTATCTAAATGTGTCACAGCAAATGCATTTCAGACCCTGTCCTGCTGCGCACGAACACAGAATAGGATAGGGACTCAGCAGGAACTAATTTGTGTCCTAATTGGTGTCACTGGCCATTTCTAGGACAGCTGAATAGTGTCAGGAATAAAGACACATATACAATCTACAAAAACAAAGGGGACAGTTTATAAAAACTGACTCCTGGTGTGAAACAAAAAGTCATCTTCAGCTAGCTAAATATTTTTAGATGACATAAAACAAATTTTGTCAATCGCTTTCTATAGTCAAAAATGCAGACACCTGGCCATGAATAACACACAGCACCCGATTATCTCATCCGACACTGCAGCTGTCACAAGTCACAGAACACTTGATCCTTGGGCAAGTCAAGATTTAAAGAGGCATGTTCTAACCATAGATATTTGAGCATGCACAGCAGGACCTCCAGAAGAATGTCCACTATGACATGCTGGATATTGCTATTGCTATGAAATATCTTGATATTCTTAACATATTGTAATTTGATTGGACACAAAAACGGAACGGAGGCAGGTCATCCTGGGTTCCCTGAATCAAATACAGGATCCTTGACATTAGGAGTTGCACATTTTCTGAAGTGAGGAACAAATTCTGTATAAACATGCATGATGCCTATATGTTACAACAAGAGATTCTTGGGTTGTACGTGTACGTGTCGGAAGTGGTGTATACACGTAGAGCACGTGTATGGGAATGGGAGAGGCAGAGAAGGATGGAGATGCTCAGATGATCGGAGATAGTAAAACAACCTGCTTGAAACGCAGAGGGGTGACCAATAACACAAGTTGATTTTTTAAAAGGAAACAACAAAGGAAAGGCTACCTAAATGAGAGGCAAGCATGTGGGAATACTCACAACTGAAGACAAAGAAGAGAAATCGTAAGTGAAAGCAAGAGTAATTTCATAAACAAGAAAACAAACAGATCTCAAGCAGGGCCTTCCCCTGGATATATATCCCTGGTGAGTATTTTTGTCTATATAAAAATTCAAAACTTTTAATGCCTCATGTAATTCCTGAGCCTCTGTGAGATGTGATTCTTCAATGGAGATAAATAAAGGGTAAAGAATTAGGATCTTTTTGTCTTTGTTTACTTTCCAATTATTGTTGAGATCATTGACAGTGTCTAGGAACCACTACTCCCTGTGCCAGAACTGTCTCTTTGCTTCTTTGTTGTTAGATGTGTTAATTCCACATTTCTCCTTGGGCAGAAAAAGGGTATTAGTGCTGTTATTATTCACAACATCATGGCCCTTCAGAATTTCTTTATACTGATCCTACAAAGATGTCCTCGCCTCTGCTGAATTTCCCTGATATTGTTTAGTTAGTGTGGGTTTTGCCATCACTCATGATGCTAACCTATCCATCCTGCCACCCATGAGTCCCAGGTTCCAATGACTTCTCCAAGGGTTGCGTCTGTGCTTTGTAGATGACAACCACAAATGCAAGTATTTCCCAGAGTATGCTGGAAAATATGCATGTTAACTCATTTTCTGATCATGTTAAATTCACTGTTTGAAACTTCATAGCATAAATATAGTACAGCACATTTTTCCAACTGCATCTTTCCTCGCATATTTTTTAGGGTTATCACTGCATCCATGCCATGCTATTTCACATCAACAGCATCTTTCACACACAACCACTAATGGGGAAGGCCGAGGAAGGGTCATGAGTGAAAAGAGGAGTGGTCCCACACATGTTAGGAACATGTCTCACTGATGCGGCTGCAGCATGGAATTCAATGTCTGTATTTTGACTGAAGGCAAGAATGAGCATTAATCCAAGGATCTACTGGCATTACAGAGCCACAGTCTCCAAAGCTCTCTGAAAGACAACTGTAGAGAAAGTTTGACCATCCTGGTGCCAGCAATGGGAAGTATATATGGCAACAGATGGGTAATACTATCTTCACTTCCCTGGGGTGCTATATTCTATTGCTATAAATTGGAACATGGAGAGGGTAGAGCTGACGTATGGAACCACATGTGGTTCAAGCCCAGGGATTGGTAGTGGGCCATAGGTGCCCTGGAATCCTGAACTCACAGGTTCTATATGAATGAAAAGGATCAAAAGTGGGGCATCTGCACTTATATGGTGCCTCAATCTCACATCTTGAGGAGCAATTAGTTTTTAGGCCACCCTTCTGGAATTGGTGTTCAACTCAGGAGCCTCGGGATGATCACAACAGGAGCCACAGACCTTTTAGGGGCATTTGATGAACTTCATGTGAGGAAAGAAGGGGAGAGATCAGCAGTTCTTCAAAAGTTAAAAACAGGTGTGAATCTCCAAGGACACTCTCCCAGGTCAACACACTCTGCACACTCAGCACAGATGGCTGT